GATATCCTGTTTTGACAGCTGTCAATTGATCACAACATTGATGTGCAATTAGTTTTCTATTGGGCTCCCAAACTAGCTAGAAAGTGGAAGAGAGAACATTGGTTTCCCTGTGGTGCGGACGGACGGTCGGGCGTACGGTCACGTGATTACCAAATTTTCTCGGATGGGTAGATTACCACATTTCCTTAGCTATGGAGCTCCGTCCACACGCGCGCGCTTCGCGCGCTGGTGGAGCTCCGCTAAAAACAATAAATTTATAAATATATATATATATACACAAAAGAGACAATATTTAAAGTAGAATAGGTTATAAACACGTAATGAATAATATATAAATCGACGAAGGGGGGCAAAATATGTACTATAAATGAACATGTATACATATATACATAAATATAAATAAAAAGACGTAATAGTGGTTGTAGTAGGACTATGAAAAACAGTGACAATGAATAGAATAGCGGCAAGTCGAGCACAGTAGATCCTCCAAGTGCTCGGCTGATGATAGGCGTGAGAAAAACAGACTTCGTAATTTAGACTTAAGAGAAAATGGAAGAAATTTAAATTTTAGTGGAGAAGAAGAAATAGAAAACTCTTTTAAGTCGGAACTGAGGTCATTAAAAAGTTTAGTAGCAGTATAGGCCAAGGTGCGTTTCCCAGAGTTGCTATGTGGGCATGGCACCTTTAAGTCGTAGAGAGGCTCTTGTAAAACGGCCCAGAGGTCCACGCGAATCACAAAGAAATTGAAATCTGTTCCTGAGACATTTGGGAGCATTCGGATTAAGCAGTACGATGAAAAGAAGAAAAATTTTCCTGTATTTAATAAGATCAAAAAAGGGAATCGAGTTAAGTTTTAAAAATAAAGAAATAGAAGCCTGAGAGAGGTCGGCATCAAGGAGTATACGCCCAGCACGCTTCTGAAGACGAAGCAGTCGTAAGAGGAGATGGTGGGAACAGTTACCCCAGGCAGCGGAGCAATAAATAAAGTAGTTGTTAACACAAGAATTATAGAATCGTAAAGCAGAATCAAAGTTAAGATAAGGTTTGATGCGACGGAGAAGAGAAAGCCTACTGCTAATGATGCAGCAGATTGTATCGATATGATGCTCCCAAGACATGTCACTGTCTATCATAACGCCCAGCATCTTGGCATAGTCCACTTGCTCAATAGATCTACCATCGATTTGGACATTGAATGCCGAGCTGGTTAAAGTACGGCGTTTCTGCAGGGTCGTAACAAGTAAAGATTTAGTTTTGGTTGTGTTAAGTGACATTCGATTATTGTCAGCCCACGTAGATACAGTTCTAGCAACTTCATTCAACTGAGTGCTGAGGGAAGTAACAGAGGGCCCTCGAACAAGAATAGTAGTATCATCCGCAAACATAGTTGAAGTTACGTCTGAATGTAGCTCTAAAGGCAAGTCGTTGATATGAATAATAAAGAAAAGTGGCCCCAGGATACTTCCCTGCGGCACACCTACAGAGACTGGAAGTGCTTCAGATAGAGTGCCCCTAAACTGGGTTTTTTGGGAACGCCCGGATAGATAAGAGCGAAACCAAACCATGGTAGAGTGGGAACAACCATAGATACGAAGTTTATTAAGTAACGTATCATGATCCACAAGGTCAAAAGCTTTCTTCAAGTCAACTAACAAAAGCCCATCGGCGATAGCAAGCTCACACGAACGAGAACTACGGAAACCAAATTGCGAATCCAGCAGCAGGTCGTGTTGGGAAAGAAAGTAGTAAAAAGTTTGGTGCACGTGACGCTCAAGAATTTTTGAGACAACAGCCAGAACTGATATTGGGCGATAATTGGATCGGTCAAACAACGAACCGTCTTTATGCAGTGGAGAGACTTTAGCAGTTTTCCAAAGATCGGGGAAAACACCAGAAGAAATGCTGAGATTAAAAATAGCAGTCAAAGATGGAGAAATAGACGAGGCTGCTATTTTTAGAAAATAGCTACTAAGGTCGTCCAGCCCAGTAGCCTTGTTAGTAGATAACTGCTGGAGGCTAGTTCTAAAAAAATTTTCAGAGATAGGGGGAATACAATAGGACACTCCAGATGGCAGCTTGGAATCAACGTAATAGGCAATACGCTCCCAGTTAGTTGGGTCAGAAGCATGATTTAACTGAACAGAGGAAGAAATATTGGCGAAATGCTCGTTAAAAAAGTTGGCAATATCATAAAAATCATGATAGTTCATCCCGTCAATGGTTAAATGATTTGGTAATTTGGAACATTTAGAAGGCGCAAGAGAACGAATAATGCGCCAGAGGTTTTTAGCATTTTCAAGATTATTGTTAATTGAATTTCGGTAAAAGGAGCGTTTAGCATAACGAATAAGATGAACCACTCTATTACGCACAGAACGATACTCGCGCCAATTTAATGCATCGTTTGTCAGAATCGCTTTCCTATGCAAATGGTTCCGCGTGGCAATTGCGGCTTGAATTTCACTGTTGAACCATTCAGGTATGAATTCCCTCTTGACACGGCGTTTTTTCTAAGGAGCGTGGGAATCCAGCACGCTCTTAAATAAAGAATACCAATGACTTAAAGCCTCATTAGGCTCAGAATACATATCCATTGTACTCCAAGGTAAACATTCTAAATCGCCCAGAAAGGTATCAACAGAAAAATTCTTTTTTGAGCGAAAAAGCATAGGTTTGTGTCCTTCAGATTGTAGCTTAGTGGCTCTAGATTTTAGTGACACGTAGATAGGAAGATGATCACTTAGGGTCAACGATAGAGTGCCTGATTTCAGAACATTATCTCGATAATTAACCAAAACATGGTCCAAAAGTGTTCCAGATACCGGTCTTGTAGCAACAGTAATAAGTTGATGAAAACTATAGGCCTTAGTTAGTTATCTTCTTTGTATATACCTCGAAACAGAAGCTGTGAACAACGGAAACATGGCTTCACCCTCCATTTTCAGAACTTCAGGTGTGATGGGGCAGTCTAGTCCAACTGCCTTGTTCAAGTTAAGAGACTTTATCACCTTTTTATCTAGTCTAATGTAGGTTAGGCTGTGTTGATTGGGAGAACCGATTCATCTGGCGGTAGTCTAGCAGTATCAATAGCGGTGGTGTTGTTCAGAAGAGTGCTACGGTACTTCTTCCATTCAATGAGAAGTTCTTGGTGACTAATTGGGTCACTCTTGTCCCTCTTTTTGAGCCGTTCAGATCCTTCAATCTCTTACTGGAGGCGGCTGTGTTAAGGAGCAGGTGCTTGCTTTTGGTGTCATTTCCAGCTTTCCGCAAGTCTTCTGTTTCTTTGGAGACCATGTTTAGTACGCTATTAGAAACACACTAGCCAACTACCTCTTCTGCAGTGCTTCTTGTTATACTTTAAAACTGACTGGATCTGATGATGATTAGCTCATCATTTAGGGTGGAGTAAAAGCTGTTCGATAGCTTTAGCAGAAATTCTGATGTCAGCACAGGATTCGGGAGTCTCTTCCAATTGAACTATTTGCGACTTACAGTTTACCTTTTGTAGTTCTAAGACTCACTTTAAAAGTCCCACTTAAGATGCGGTGGTCGGAGTCGAGCTCTACACTATTGTACGTTCTATAATTCCTGACAGAGTTAGTCCTTGGATTGATCAAGTCGAAGGTTAGTTGCAAAGCAGAAATTAACAATGCTTGCTGTGAGGACCCACACCTCTCGGAGATTTTTCGTGATTGCCTTAGCCTAGTCTAGCGTTTATATCTCCAAAAACAAGATTAATATCGTGACAGTTGACGTTGGCGGATGTATGGGTGTTGAGAGGGTTGTAGAATTCATACTCATCGTCGGTGTTAGCCGACTCTTTTGGAGCTTAGACTATTTTAACCACGAGTCTCGGGTTGCCGTTGAAAAATGCAGAGATGATGCGGTCCGAGAGTTGTTTTGAACCGGAGATGCTTTTGACCAATTGTCTTTTAACAAGGAGTCCCACGCAACCCTTTCGGCATTTGGAAACGCAATTTTGGATGAACAGCCAGTTCTTGTCATCAGACCACAGTTCTGTTATCGGAGTGAATGAGATAAGGCGATGCTTTTCAACACCAATGACTACAAGAACTGCTTCTACCGCCTGCCTCTACCGCAGCACAACTGATTTAACTTGCCCAGCTGGTATAAGGACCTGACATTATAGGTTGATATGATAATTTGCTTGCTAAGGGAGATTTGGTGAATATCAGCGGCAGCAGACCTCTTAGTTTTCCGTTGCTGGTTTATGTAGTAAGAATAATGATGATTACAAGTTCCCTTGACTGAGTTATTATTATTCGGAATGAGTAGCTGCCGACTGTTTCCACTTTGTCCCCTGTCTACGACGATACTTTGATGGTGAGTATGTTTTTGGAGGGTAGGGTACAATTTAAGCCTTTGTTGCTGTATGGTGTCATGTCCCTTGCATGTTGGCCGTTGGTACGTGAACGAGCTCATCTGTCACTTAACAGGTCTTATTTTAAGTCCTAGCGGGTGGCATGCTACATTCTTTTCACCAGCGAACGCTTGTGGGAGAGCCACTTTAGATGCCGACTACCCGTCTATGAGGCAGGCGGATATGGGTTACAATGTTACCAGTAGCAGGATTACCCCTGACCTGACTTCCATCATTATACCATGGTACAAGAGGTCTTTCTATGAACGTCTTTGTTACCAGTGGTGCATGATGATCTAGTATCTTGGGTAATGTTCTGTTGTACAAAGTACCCAAATCTTTAAGATAATCAGTACTGTATCGACTAAGGGCCCAACACATTATGCGAGAATGACTCAGCGTCAGTACTCCTGATTTTCCAAAGGGCTATCTCCTTGACAATAAACGATGGTTTCTCAAATCACAGATCAGAGTAAAGTGACCATAGAAGTGATAATCTACAGTAGGAGTGGTTGATATTAGCTCATTTACATCTCTTGTAATCACTAGATCCAGGATATGGCAGGACACCTGGGTCAGTTTATCAACATGTTGCCGGTTGCAAACCAATGGACTCCAACTAACCCAACAGGCGTGTATGTTTAATATCACTAGGAACAACAATACGAATTTCATAATCACCAGTAATTAACAATGATTCAAGTGACATTATGAATGATTCCAAGTAGGAAGTGAATTCTTCAGAAAATGTGGCTGTTGTAACCGGATCTTTAGAAGAATACGGTATCCTATAAATAATCAAGATCACAAGTTAACAAGATCCACAGTCCACAATCCATTCCCAACACTTTCTCGCCAGCATCTACTTTTTGAAGTCAAGAGAGAGTAATTTATTAATAGTGCTGTTCCACCACTAGTGCGGCCCACGCGGGAATGGTTCATCATTTTAAACCGAGGAGGTGATTCTTTGATCCGATAACCAATATCATGCTGAGAAAACCAATTCTCAGTCACTGCGAAAATATCCGTTTTCATAGTACATGCATAACACAGAAAATCAGGCGACTTGTTCCTGAGAGATTTTACGTTCGTACAGCATAGTCTAAGCTGATCTCTCCCATTGCACAGACTAGCTGGCATTTGTAGGGGCTGTTTCGGAACAACAAGCAAGTTATAAACTCAGTTGACACCCTTAGGGTGCAATGAACTGAGAAAAACCTGATTCAGTGCTAGTTCTATCAAATAAATTAACAGTTCTTATTCTCATACGACCAGTTCTCCTCCCTATATATTTGTAAGATTCCACAGTCCTTTAATGCTTTCAAAGTAGGCATGAACAATTTGAGGTGACATGATACACGTATGTCCAATAAACAGTTACGAGAATCAAGCAGATATCTTCGATCAGCGCAATTCTTTACTCCATACACAGCCTCACTCAATATTTCGTAAATATCCCTAGAGAGTGAGCCAATTAGAGTGCTTAAAACACCAATTTAAGATGACTCAGAGTGTGCATATAGTAAACTGCTATTATCATCATTATCATTATCTTTTTGTATTTTTGGTATTATGACGTAATGTAGTTGAATTGAGTGAATATATTCGTATTTATTTAGTTTCACCACTTTCATTGTCTCGGTAACTGTGGCATTTGACGTTGTTCTACTTATATAAAAGTGGATGTGCGTAGAGACACAGGTACGCAGACTGTGATACCTACAAGAACTGCAACGAAGAGAGATCTGCAAATACTCCTGGTACGAGCTGTTTGACCATGTTGTCCGACAAATCCCTGTAAGAAAATAAAGTAAATTAATTATTAAATATGGGAAAACTATCCGTCCACGTTCATATGTCATTTTCTCTTTTTTAAAAAAATAATGTGATTGGGAAACAGGCTCACAAATTTAATTCAGCTTTCATTATTTTTTGTGTTCTGTGTGCATAGTTCAGAAAACACAATCAGTTCAGTGACCACACAACAGTTAAATAACCACGCTAGTGGTTCAATGACCACACAAGTAATTCAATGACCACAACAGTAGTTCACCGAGAATAGACTACATGAAGCTACGGTGGAAATAGCCACAAATACGTTAGCATTTTAGTATAAATGTGTAGCATTAACTACGTGCTAAATACTCATTCAGCGATGACACAAAAACCAAACTGAAAAATAGCTATGGCACAATGTTATTTAGTTCTAGTGAGCTCCCTAAAGTAAACAGGAACTTAGACTGAGAGCAATTTAAAATTTAAATAGTCTGTTCAGAAGGTCTGTCATTCTCATCAGGGGCACAGTGAAAATAAATAAATCAATAAATTATTATTTGGAGGTAGCAGATCCATAGAGTGGTTCCTCGTCTACCTGAATACTGGTCGAATTAGAATTTGGAATGTTGGTTTTTGAGGACAGGGGAAAACAGGAGAACCAACAACAAACTCAACCCACATACGGCGTCGCCGCCGGGATTTGAATCCGGGCCACATTGGTGGGAGGCGAGCGCTCTCACCACTGCGCCATCCCTTGCTTCCCTAAAAACAGACCTGGAAAGGTAACACGGCCCAAAAGAAATCGATATACTAAATAACCCGACAAAGCTCGCGCTGCGAAAGTAGAAAAAATAACGGTTAACGATCGAAGAAACCTTGTTTTTTGACTCTTTTTGCACACGTTTCAAGCTATGGTACCACAGCTGGCTCTAAGTGCCTAACATCAATCCATGTTTAATAAATAGGTAATCTTTACCGCACAAGTCCAGACTTTCCAAGGTTTCGTTTTTTTTTTGGCCGTGTTAACTTTCCTTTTCAGCGCTGACTCTCTTTCCAGGTCTGTTCACTGTGCCCCTGATGAGAATGACAGACCTTCTGAGCTGACTATTTAACTTTTAAATTGCCATCAGTCTATGTTCTTTAGTGAGCTCACTAGAACTATATCACATTGTGCCATAGCTATTTCTCAGTTTGGTTTTTGTGTCATCGCTGAATGAGTGTTTACCACTTAGTCTCTTCTACACATTTATATTAAAAAAATCTAACTTATTTGTACGTGGCTATTTCCCCGCAGCTGCATGCAGTCTATTCTCGGTGAACTACTGTTATGGTGATTGAACTACTAGCTTTGTTCTTGAACTGTTGTGTGGTCACTTAACTGATTGTCTTTTCTGAACTATGCGCACAAAACACATAAAACAAAAAAATCAAAAAAGTCTTTTTCTCAAATACCTATGCTTTCATCTGAGCGTGGACACGTGGCGATTATCATGTTTTAATTGGGTGCACACATGACTTGGTTGGCAGTGAGAATACATTTAGGTGTTCTTCGGAGAAAATGATCCTGATCTGTTGAGTTATGGTCCTGCTCAAAAGGGGCTTCACATCAATGGTAACGATAAAGATTTTCGAACCTTTAAAATGGGAATTTCAGAAGGGGAATAGACGGCTTATCCTAAACATGGTGACTAAAATACGTAATCTTATAGTGAAATCTATCACTGCAGGGAGAGGTTGATGTAAGTCCAGAAAAGTTGTGTTAATGCAAGAACAGATATTTCTGGGGCATTTCAAAGAGGCGCATTCTATGAAAGCGAGCCATCATCCTCGAGAACAAAAATTGCTGCAGTGCTCTACCAACTGAGCTATGAAGACCCATACTTTAGCAGCGAGCCAATTTTTTTACTCTTTTTTTTAATCCGTGAGGAGAATGAAACATGAAATAAAGATAATGTGAACTGTAGAAATACAAGATATGATCGTCACAGTTGTAATGGCATACTAAGCAATTGTAAATTAACCCAAATAAATCTCAGGATTCCGCCACTGTTTTGATTGTGGTCTTGAATCTCGATCCAGTTTCTTCGTCAATATGAAATTTAACGGAAAATTAGCGTTTGTCTTGGCAGGTGTGGGTGAACGTTATGTTTGATGTTTTTGCTCGCAATTGCAATTGCAATTACTTTGTATTGCCATTGTTATTTACGAAAATATATATCTCCAAGCAATTAATCGTCAGAACCTGTGGATCCAAACAGCTGCAAATACAAATGTCATTACAACTTACAAAATTTGCAATGAAGAGAGGTCTGCAAAAATTCCTTGCGGGATTTCCTCGATCATGCTGTTTGACAATCTCCTACAGCAAACGAAAAATCGTAACCTACATTAATGTGTACATGTCTCCTTATTTTTGGTTTTGAAACAAAAAAAGTATTTATTTTAACAAAAAACAGTGCATTCTTTAAAATTAAATTCAAATTAAATCAAAATGGTCAATCTGTACAAAACACTAGGCCATTTGCATGATGGCTTCATTTTACTACTATGACAAGGATCCCTCAGGGTTTTGCTTTCTTGTGCAAATTAGGGCCTTTGTTATTTAAACCTCACTGGGGCTACCAAATTTAAATATGAAAAGAAAACCGAAAAGAATTCTGGTCGTAGTAGTAAAACGACGCCATCGTGCAAATGGCCTATTCGCAGTATGAGGGCGTTCTATGGACGCAGGGACGGTGCAGGCACTACCATTTCAATCCCTTTTGACAAAGTTAGTCTTTTAATGACTACAAGGAAGCCTCCCAAACATTGTGCTGCACGTTCAGAATTTTTTGTTGTGTTTATTTTCTCGTTTTTGTTGTGGTTGCGTTGAGCTTGGTAGTAGCGCTACAATGTTAAACAATTCTTGATATGCGACGATTTCGCCTGAAAAGCCTATTTCCGTAGGTACCCATACACAGGCTCAACCCTTGTGTCAAATTGAAAGGAATTTCTGGCAGATATTCTATCATTTAAATTGGATGGTTTATTCAAGACTTCAATAAACTTGGATAGACTAAAACAACTTAAAGAGAATCGGTGTGGAAACTTGCTTATCAAAAACACGGCTTCGTAGTTTCAGGTCAGCGGTCTCACCTCACGAATGCCTACTGTAATATAGTATGTTTTGTGCTTCGACCTTCTTTCGTGTGTGTTCTGTTTTTCGGGGAACACTTTATACTGTTAAGGAAGTAGTGCATTGGTTTCTACTGCCCTTAGCTACAACCAGATTGACCATGGTCAACCTCATTGTCATATCTTTATTGTTGATCATGGTTATCCTCTGGTTGCATAATTGTCGTACAACGGGTTTCCATGGTTGAGAAACATGATTATTCACATTCTGCGGATGCGGAATGATGGGGGTTTATATTATTTGTTAGACTAGAATTAGTTATCGCAAAAATCTCGCGAAACTGTAAAGGGTCCGCAATGAGAATACAGGGAAACAAGCCAAAGGGCAAAAAATATGTCAAAAAAAAATGTATAAAGAAAACGCAATGAATAAATAACCACGCCGAGATTCGAACCTACACTATGATTGCCTCCAGTGCGTGAGGTCAGCTTCCAGACCACTGGGCCGTGCTGCTGCTGGACAACTCTTACCGTACGATTAAAATACTAACAGCATTTTTCTCTGCCATACACGCTATTTGAAGCTTGTCGAGTTGTATTTATCATGAATTCAAGGAGATATTGAGGAAAATTAGCTTAAGCGAGTATTTCAAAGCCATTTCGCTTTACTTCTGTGTTTATTCACTCTCAGGATTAACGGCCGCTCGATATATTTATACGAGCTCGTATTCTTCGTTGCGCGCGCTGGATTTCAAGTCCCCGTTCTAGCTGCAGTGGAGTTTCGACGGTAAATCTTCCCCAGCGAGGATTCCCAGCCACTTGTTGAATGAAACGTTGTCTTTTGCCAGCCGTTCTCTTTCAGTTGTCTGAGAAATTGACCGCAATTCACCGATAGTAAACATTGTTTGACAGACGATGAATCAAGACATCAGCCTTTCATGAATAAAACATGATAGCGCACCACATATTTTGAAGTCGAGCTGAAAATGCACCTTGACGTCACACTGGATGCGGATACCCAAGAGATATATAGAATCAGTAAAACCCAACTAGCGGTTCATTATCAATGCTGCGTTCTGATTGGTTGAGCTACTACTAGGCTATATGTTATAGCCCACTAGTAGCGAAAAGCGCGGGCTTTTGGCGGCAAAAAAGGATTAAAGTCTAGCTTTAACTAGCTAATTTTTTTTTTATTCTCGATATTTTTGACCAACTAGTTGGATTTTACTAAAACAATTATTCCTCGAGCCCAAATGGCCTCTGAGTTAATAGCCCATTCGGCCTTCGGCCTCATGGGCTATTGACTCAGAGCCCATTTGGGCTCGAGGAATAATTGTTAAATATTACCAACTCGAGTTTCTGCGTCGCTGTGCGATCCACGCGATACACGGCAAGACAACTTTATAGGCCCCTCGCTGGGCGAAGAATAATCATTTAACCACAAACATTCTGTAATTAAAAATCAGATTGAGGTTGTATAAACTTGTAGACTAACTTACGGTAAAAAAAAAACCCTCATCGATTGGTATACTTCTTTAAATGATGATAGTAATAATGATGTCCGTTTTACCCCAAATGTATTTTTTATAAATTTTAATTAATTGAAACCTCAGGAGGCTTTTTTCAAAGCTAAACGATTTTTAGGGCGTTTACTTACAAACGTTTTTATTCTTTTCATGCATGATTCACTGCCACTGAGCATTTTTATTAAAATCAGCAGTTAACGAGTCCTTAAGCTAGGAAATTCACTTACAAATTAGTAGTTGTTGTTGGTATACACTTCCAGATATATGTAGCATTGCCTCCACTGCAGTCATGATCGTTGGTGACTTGCCCAGCACCATTCATAAAACCCCTGCTTCGACATAAATGCCTGCAATCTGCGAGGTCAATGCATCTTGTCTCAGGTAAATAGCGACAAGTGAAAAGTAAGGGCAGAATTTTAAACCAAATGTGTTTATTAAATTACGTTATAAACTACTATGTTGAAAACGTCTTCTCTGCTTTGAAAAAATACACCATCAGTGCGTTCAGTTCAAAAGCAACACAGTTGACTCGTTCGATCAGGAAAGACGCTGAATATGAGCAAAAAATAACACAAGTATCACAGGGTGGTGCTGAAATATGGCTCGACATATTAACATGTTAGCTTGAGACAAAGCCCTACCCATGACGTTAACGTCCACCGTTTTGGAGCTATTTCCTGCATCATTTTTTGCCAGAATTGTGTAGTTTCCCGTCTGAGTGAATTTAAGTCCTTTTACCATTGCTCCACCCTCCAAACGTGTAGATGAGTTGGCTAACCTAGCTTGAATGGGTGGGGTGCCTTCCACCATGAACCAGGTATAATGCTTTGGTACACTACGTATCACTGACAACGGAATCCTTATCTTCGGCATATCTATAAATTGAAATAAGCAATGTTCGTCTTTAATGGCGAGGAAAGTTATGCTCTTCCCTATAAAATGAGTGACTGACTTTTGGAGACATCCGTTGTGTTAAAATAATTGACAAGGAACGTGGGCAAACTCATTACGTCTTGCCGTCGAGAAAGAACTATTACGGAGACCAGGTGAGATACTTAACGCTGTTTAGAACATGCTTTAGAAAATTCAGTGGCGTATGTGACCTAGCAAAGTCAAACTCCCCTTTGCGTGTTGTGTATTTTAATTCCGTTAAATGTGCGCTAGACTGCTTCAACTACAATTATCAACGCAACAACAAAAAGAACGTAATAACAATATATAAGTCATTTTGGCAAAGTTATGATGTCTGTCGGTAAAATAATCGAAGAATTGCTTTTCGGCGAGAATGAAAAAAAGGGTTAATTTGTAAACACAGGCGCAAATCACACGCCATGCTTAAATCATTTTGAAACATTTCGCTCGCGTATCATGCTGACACAGTCCGCGAAAGGAACAAAAATCACAACACATTACTGAGGAAATTAAGACTGACAATCAAAACGTAATGAAAGAACACTTTTTATTCAAGACAGCAAGTCAGAGTGGCTGAAATGCTTCTGAAGACTTGTGTTTTCTTTGTGTTTGTTAGTTTGTTTTTTAGCCGGCTTGGCGTTTAAAAAGGATCAACGAGCCTCAGAGCAGGACTGTAGCTGATTACCCTTACCTTTTCTGGCCATCACCAGAACTGGGTATTTTCTTAAAAATTTTTCTTTCCATTTGCGACCAAAAATTAATTTAAGCAGGTGTATAATATTAACGCGAGGCCATTGAAATCGTCTCTTGGACTGAAGTCTTTAATACATGTCATGACATGAATTAATATTATTATTCATTCAAAATATACAAATGCGGCGTTCGTGCAGGTTAAGGCACCGTTAACCGAGAAGACCTGGGGACGGATAACACCCTCCTCGATCTCCATAATTCTTCATAAGATACTCAGCCTCATTCATTAATTGTTAAATAATTACGCCCTGATTTACAACAAAAGAATTATAACCGTGGTGACAAAATGAGAAATGTTAGCGGCCAGTAAGGTGAAAATGAGCGGCAGTGAAAAAGAAAGCAAAAACATAGAAAGTTTCACGTTATAGTCGTGGAACAACAACGGCAAAGAAATGTACAAAAAAGTGTTTTCAGTTGCAAAGTTGTTTTATTGCTAATTAGACCTATTGTTGGTGCTATTATTGTTGTTGTTGTTGTTATTATTTTTTTGTCGTTCTCAATGCCCGTCGCCGTTTAGCATTACACGATTTTGTGAGTAAATTGCGTGTATAAGTATAGTGACGAGAGATTCGCTTTTAGCCCTGGCTAAATCTATTTAATATTTCATTCTGTGGCAGCTCTACAATTAAGAACACGATAATTTTAAAACAGTAGGTAACTGAAATGACAAAAAGGCTTCAGTCGCTGGCAAGTAGTCTGTCGGTGAACAAATTTCTAGATGCTTCATCAGTTTTCCCCCATACGTTTCAATAAAGCTACTTTGAAATGTGATATTGTGGGAAACGAATACAACTATAATTATGCAGGTCTATTCTAGTCGCATTGTACACACACAGAAGCATATATTCTTCTGACACCCATCACCGATATATTTTTATATTCTATTTACCTTTTACTTGCAAGTCTGTTTTTTGACAATTTACCAGATGAAGCTAACGTTTTCATTTATACTTGTAATGTGTCGTTGCATGTTCATTTTATTTTCAGTGGCGGATCCAAGGGAGGGGCCCGGGGGTCCCGCCCCCCCCTTATTTTTCGACCAAAATGAGGCCCATAGGACCTAAAAAAATTTTTTGGGAGACTGGGCCCCCCTCTTATCTCAGGGTCTGGATGACCGCCCCCCCTTATCTGAAGGTCTGGATTCGCCACTGATTTTTCACAATAAAGTCTTTTTGTTGGTTAATTTTCGATATGTAGCTAACGCACTTTATTTAAAAATTGATGAATCTAGTTATTCTACCAAAACATAGTCGCACAGATGTTGCTTTGGAATCGCTGAAATCGAGAATCGGCCTGGCGTGTTTACTTCAGCATTTCCAGGAAAAACCCGCTCATGCGTTCAGCACGGCGCGAGTTCACCCACTTTCTCACAAACGTGAACGGACCAATCAGAAACACCTTTATTGTTTTGTATTGAAACCAATCAGAGACGGTCTTGCTCCAGGGTTCCTCAAAGCTCTTCCCTTCCAGGCCGTCATGCGCAGAAGAGCTCTGGGGTCTAGATTGAAAGAACGTTAGCTTGCACCTATGACGCCCACGCGGCTGGACACATATAAGCTTCTGGAAAGAAAACCGAACTTACTCAAAAGACATCTCCCGCGGTTGTGATATCAGGTTAAAATGAAAGAAAGTCAAAAGACCTACTTCAGCTTGAAATCGTAAGTAGACTTTTACTTCTACACCATAAAAAAACCACCTTACCTTGAAGGATAATTTTCTCGCCCCCCCGTCTCGCGCCCTCAGTCACTCGCGAGGCCATTTTCTTCTCTCGCGCGTTTTGCTCGACAGACTAAAAAAAATAGGCTTCTCGTAGTCTAGGCCTAGATAACCGAAACTATAAGTTGATCATACCGGGATGTTGACAAGACGATATTTCGATTATCTCAAAAAATAGCAGGATTTTTTCTTAGTCAGGGTGCCTGTCGTTAAGGACTTGGGTGTTCTTCTCGACACACGCCTCAGTTATAACCAACATATCACTGAGATTGCCTCTAAATGCCTTTTTAAATTGTACCAAATTAACAGAATCAAGCACCTCCTGGATAGGAAAACACTTCTGTTAGTAATAAATTCATTTGTCTTTAGTAAACTCCAATATTGTTCAACTGTCTGGAGTAATACCAGCAGCAGCAATATTGACAAGTTACAAAAAGTCCAAAACTTTGCTGGGCGAATTATTCTGGGACTAAGAAAGTATGACCATATTTCGGATGGGTTGCGATCGTTGAAATGGCTTCCTATTAGAGAGAAACTCATTCTAAATGACGCTACTATGATGCACAAATGTATTAACAAGCTTGTTCCAGACTATCTTGCTGATATGTTTAAATCACGTTCTCAAGTCCATAATAGACAAACTCGATCATCTGGTGCTTTGGATATTCCTTTATGTCGCCTGTCAACAGGGCAGCGCTCCTTTGCTTTCAGAGGAGCCAAACTCTGGAACTCCTTGAATGATAACATTAAGTCCTTAAAATGCCCCAGGAATTTTAGACGTCATCTTGCAAATGTTTTATTAAGTTGATATATTATATTATTGATATATATTTTGTAATTATAATATTATTGTACTTACATTCTCAATTAATTTATATATTTGTATTTTTTTATTCTATTGAGCTGAAAAGCCCACTTAGGGAGCATCAATGAAGTGTAAAGTGTATGTAAAAGCTTTACACTAATTTTTTTCTTACCTAAAAACAGGTTATTTCATTAGCTTTAATTCATTGATTCTGAGTTATACCACAGAAAAACTATTCCTTGAAATACGACTTAAAATATTATTTACAACAATATATTACCAGAGGTTTTTAAAGATATTCTGAGAAGACAAACTAAGTTAAAGAAAAAATTAATGCTTTATTCAGTTGTCAATACCTCGACGTAAATGAGTTGTATCCTAGGATTCCTTTTGTGCTTTTGGAGAACAATGTTCTGGATGTCCGTTATCCGTTAATTATCCGTGTCCGTTATGTCCGCTCTAATCTCGGATATTTCATTGCGGTGAGCACGAATTAAAAAACAGTGATGGAATTTTCTATACATAAGAATAGATAGATAGGGTATTTCTGTACGAAATATTAGGAATCATTTGTTCTTTCACGAGGCCCTGTTACAAGGTCATGTAGGAGAGACATTCTTCATTTATCTACCTATATAGAAAACTGATATTGGACGTTATTATTGGGAGTTTTTTATGATTATAGAATAATAAGTTATAGCTTAACTATTCTAACCAATGAGGTCTTTTCATAATTCACCCTGAGAATTTTCTTCGAAAAGTTTTGATTTGTTTCCTTGGTATATATAGCTCACCTTTTATTGAGGTTGAAGAGTAGACTCCCTCGAAGTTAAAAAATCCAAATTCATGATACCTTTTAAAGGTTAACATCATGAATTTACCACTTGTTCGTACGACGAATTGGCGTCTAGATCCACTAAAAATACCCAGCAAGGTATCATTCTTACTTTTTCCATCAAAGACTTTAATCTCGCTCCTATAGATCAAATAATCAAAGAGATTAAATGTGGTAAAGGTCAACTTGACAGTGTGGTTAGATTCTGCTGTAATAATCCACGTGCAACTGTACAAGGAGTAGTTGTTGGTTATACTGGAGCTGATGACCCCATTGGAGCGACGCAAAGCGTAGAAGCATGGATCGGCGTGCACATCTGAAAATAAGTACAAACATTATAGAAATTATATTTATCATGGAAATAATTATTTAACAGAACCGTCAATTTGCAGCTTCGAATATTAAGAGCATAAACTGCCTTGAGGTTACCCTAAAAAAGAAATTCTTACAAGAAATAATTTCTGAAAATATTAATAAAAAATAGGTAAAACTGTTTTTTTTTTTGGCAACGGGAGTCGCTCATGCACAGAACGAGCTTCCATTCCCGTCCTGGCAACTTTTCACCCTCGGCCATACACACAAATTCACACCCCCTCCGTGGTACAAGGGGGGGGGGGAGGGGGTTGGTGGATGGAACCCCTTCCCGGATTTTTTGATGTGTTGCTGTATTTCGAAACGATTTTGCCTTTCAGTCTTTGCCTTTGATCTTCTTAACAATCTTAAGAAGATAAGGTATATTTCAAGGGTGGTAGCGCTGCTGCAGGCCCGTGACGCAACCAACAGTGGTCGCCATCTTTGCCGCCATCTTGGATTTTACCAAGAATTGGAAATCAGCCAACCGTGAGAAATGGTAATTTTTTGTGCTTTACATGAAAAATAACACATGGATAAGCACTTTTCACGATTGTAGCTACAAGATTTACTATTATTGTTGAGAGAAATTGAAAAAACGTGTATTTTCACTCAAAAATGGCGTGACCACCTGCTGCTTATGACTTCATATATCGTAATTATAGAAACTGCTCATCAATGAACTTCTTTCAAAATGTGCGCGAGGGATAAACGAACAGCTACTGAAAACTTCAAGTGCTGATGTTTTATCCGCTGGGAAAAAACTCAGGAAAACCTCAGAGGGTTAAGTAGTGTCTTGGGAATTAGGCCTGAAGACCATTTGATTCACATGACGTCACGTCAGCAACACTGATGTACCAAGGACCTCTAATGTACTGGTATTTGTAAGTGGCGTCACAAATGTAATAATGGTCGCAAATACGACAAGGGCTAGGAAGAAAAGTTAGAGTTGGTGAAAAGTGTGTTTAGGGTTTCAATTTAGGAGATGGATAAGAAGTGAATTGTACGTAAGATCACGTTATGCTTCTGGAAATGAAGAGGTGAATGTCTTAAGGAATTACACCATGAACGTTTCTCGAGTAGGATGCAGTTCTGTGCGAAACAAATGAGAGCAAACTTATTTCGGCGAACAAATTGCGAAATTTCGTTTCCGAGTTGAAAAAGGGACGAAATTTCGGTGCATTTATTGTTCTAACCTCGGTGAAACTTTGCAAACTAGGTGATGAATCAACACGAATTTTCGCGGCATCAGACGAAATTAATGGATAATGGTATACGGACCATACACTTTTTTCTTTTTATGGCTGAAATTTTTTGTCAAATTTTATTTAATTATATTTAGATTTTTTAATCAAAGGTTGTTTAAGTATGGCTGCAGATCGCTTTACCTTTCCTCAGGATTTACTAGTGACAGGTTCCATAGCCGTCTATGATACAAGTAATCATAATTTTTGTAGAAAGATGAGTAAAAATTATTATTGTTGTTGTCGTTGTTTATTGGTTTAAATTTTATTTTCCTTTTTTCGGTGTATTAGTAGTATCCGAACCCTTGAATAACAGCTAGATCCCTCGACCCCACTCACATCAACGCCCTATGTCGCCCTGCCTTCACTACAACTGAAAATTGCGGAATTTGGTGATTAATAGCAATTGTAAACTTTTTCTAATTTGCGCGAGAACGCCCCCTAGTGAAAGTTTATTTTTGCTTCAAAGAATCCTGCAGTCTTAACTGTATTGATGTCGTCGATGTTTAGACTACCCCTTGTTGGGGTTGTGAAGCTAATTACAATATTGGCCCACCCCTTATAACATTTGCTAATATTGTCACATTTGTGACCCATTTCTTACATGTAGCACAGAAGTAAACGCTTCTTACGTTTGTGACCTATCCCCATCACATTTGTAACCCTTAATCCATTATTTTGTCCCTTATTACATCTGGCACCACTATTCCTTATTACTTTTCCGACCCTTTCATACGGCACCAGGTATACCATTAATGCGACCTCAACTTAACAGCCAAAAGATGGTACAGTTTAATATAAGTGCCGTGCGCATCAGTCCGTGTCTATGTAGGAAGATGACAGAAAAACTATGTATGTCGTAAGGAAAAATTCACTTGCCTTGCCACATTGCGAAGAAAACGACTGCAAACAATATTTTTTTCATTCTCAACATTTCCAATCTCTTTCCTTTGCCACTCTGAAAAGGCCAAAATCTGAAAAAAAGACAGTAGAAATCAATCAAAAGGGACACATTATAGCGGGACTCTCGCTCTCAGACTTGGCCATTTATTTGCTTTTAATTGATCGCAGGCTCAATGTTCATAGCAGCAATTGTTTCTCGTCTATTGAACCCCTCCCTAAAACGTCATATGGTCTTCCCCTAATTTAAGGTAAGTATAGATTTCTAGATTTCTTTAGCAATAGTTCCAAGTTAACGGGGGCTTTGCCTTTAGCTTTGGCTAAAGCCTTACATTAAACATAGATTGACTAAAGGTATAACATAGTAGAAAACCTCTGAAAGGTCTGAAGAAGGGTAAAAAATCTCCTACAACACTTACTATTTTTAATTAACACTTTTTCCGTAAGAATACGAATTTGAAGGATTCTAGTCTCATTCGCTGTTCCCCTTTTCAAGAACCAATTTTTACGTACAAAAAGCCTTGTTCGCCACCCAAATGACAATGATATTATTTTATACTCTTAGATTCATTTGGAGCAGTTAGATACTAAATTCATAACCTTACAAAGTAAAATGTTGTCATCCTATGCGGTCATATTTTTTTACAAACTCGGAGTACTTGGTTTTTTTAGAGAGGAATATATCATGATTGGCTTCAATACCCCTGCTAATTAACAATTATCCCACGAGGGTGCGTTGGATATGAGATGATAGATAGCCAACGAGGCGCATAGCGCCGAGTTGGTTATAATCATTTCATATCCAACAAGCCCGGGTGGAATAATTGTTTTATTAAAAACGCCCACAAAATCTCGTTGAATCGCCCCGGCTAGAACAAACCGGAAAAGACAAGGGACTTCCGCTATTCACATGTCACACGTCTATCAAAACTGTCAACGCGCGAACGGACTCGCCTAGACTGCATGAATGAAAAATCAAAACATCGTAGCGATGAACATTAGTTTTTTAAAAACTCATCGTGATTCTAGGATTTTGCCCAGCAGAACAGCTTAAAAAACCTGGCAGATAAGGTGAAGGAAAGGAATTTTTAAGTGACAGCCGTCGAAATTACTATGAATTTGGATTTTCGGTGCAGTTATAAAAGTAAGAACAACGGAGAAAAACTACCGGTATTACCTCGGTCGCTTGTTATGAAGTTGTTTGAAGCCACAAGCTGGTTTTGCTGAACGAGAAAAGACACTATACTGCCGCCTCGATTGCTGATCTAGTGAATGGCTGCATAGCCTGTATTTGTAGTTGGTTACTTGTGATTTATATTCTTGATGTCGGATAAAGAAGCTGCAGTTCTCTATCGGCGAGTGACTCGATCGGCGAATGGCTTCGCGATCATGAAGAAACAACACTTGTCTTCTTTCGTAGCTGGTCAAGGTACTTTAGTTCCATGTGTTTTCATGTGTTTTTCGACAAACTTTCAAACAAGCTCTTGTGGCTTTTTTGTTTGTTTTTGTCTTTTTTCTTTCGTTGAAATTGCATTTCTAGTATTCTAAGAAATGAATTAAAACGATTTGCTTCGGGCGCCGTTCTATCTATCCTTCGCGAAAAAAAATCTCAGCTAGCTTCCAATTTTAAACTGACGCGTACACCGACCATATATGGAGAACATGGTATATTAGCTCATATACCGTAACGGCTAAGCCAATCAAAATGCTAGAATTGCATTATCCTATGATTCAGTTTTTAATAATTCTTAATAGCCAATCCCTTTTTCTGTTAATTGAATCTTATTTATGAATATTCCTCAACCAAAACGGCTGAGCGAATATCGTGGAAACATGTAGTCTCGTCGAGAATATTTCCTACCGGTTCGTTAAATATTAAGTCCTTTACTTTATATTTTCGGCAGGTTCGAAACGCTTAGCAAATGTCTAGTGTTAAAGCACGGAACTCTAGCATAGAAACCGCACAAACACGAAACTTTTTATGACCTTGCAGTTAAATTGTAAAAAAAGACAATTCGGAACTGAAATATTTTAAGGGGGGTCTCCATCAGCCGATTTCTTCAACTTCCGTTTGTTTGTTTTAAGAAAGTTGTATGAGTTAGGGCTCACCTTAATGATTTTTCCGTGAAAAAGAAAAAAGAAAATAAATAAGACACACACGTTCAGTGGAGTAAAGCTGTCTATTTATGGACACTACAGGGACATATCCAGGTGTCCACATTAGAGACTGAGTTTTACGTGTTACGGAGATTGGAATCGCGGTCAGAAATTTGATATCTTTGCATGGAAAGAACTGTCTGTAAAAAGACATGTCAAATGAGAATTTATAAAGAATTTATAAATGTATTTCTCTCAAAAAATCTAATAGCAGAATCTCGATTTCCTGACGAAAGCTAAACCAACATGGAATCCTGCTGCCAGCAAACGAGTATTTTGGGGGGTAAAGATGCTCAAAATGCGATCAATTTATTCTGTTATCCTTACGTTAAAACCCACCAATACTATGGTGGAAAAACACATAGTTATGTCTAAAGATGTTTTGTCAATAGTTCATTTAATATAAACAGGTTTCTGTTATACTCAGCAAATTCGTAACGTGGTAAAGAACCAGAAAACCTGACGTAAAAACCCTTTAAAACGGAAGCCTTTTTGACCTTGTAGTTAATTCTCAAATAGAAATTTCTGTTCCATCTAGAGATATCAAAGGGATCTCTAGCTATTTTTTTTATTTTTTTTAATTTTTTAACTGTGCTTTGATGTTTGTATTCATCTACTGAACTTCCGCTGTTCGATCAACAGTCAATTTTAAACAACATGGTTCACACAAGGCG